TGAATTTCGTTGTTGCTTCTCACTCTCCATTCACCGCTGTTTGCATCTTTGATGGGTCCAAAGATTCGTCGTAAGACTCTGTTTTTGAAAACCTGTAATAAGGCTTCATCTCTAATGGTTGTGCTCCAAATTTCAGAGCCATATAACACGACTGCTTTTATCAACTTTTTATATATTTTGATCTTGGTGTTGCGAGACAGATACTTTGACTTTAGCAGACGTTGAAGGGCATAGTATACTTTATTTCCATATTGTATTCTAGATTGTATTTCTTCTCTCAGCATGTTGGAGCAGTTGAAGTTTGCATCCAAGTAATTATACGTTTCCGTTCGTTCGATTTTCATATTATCGACTTGTATGTGGCCGGAGTTTATATCCTTTCCCTGTCTAGTTATTATCATGTATTCTGTCTTATCTTGATTGATAACTAGCCCCATTTTCTGAGCTGATTCTTTTAAGACATTTAGTGTTTCCTCAGTCTCTAGGACATTTTCTCCAACGATATCAATGTCATCAGCATATCCAAGTATTCTTGTAGATTCTCCTATAGTACACTCATGTTTCAATTTCCTTATAATTTTCTCCAGGGGCAAGTTGAAAAGAAGTGGGTCAGAGCATCACTTTGCTTTAAACCAGATGTTATTTGAAAAGTGTCTGACTTTCTGCCTTTGTATATTACTATATGAGTGTCTTCGATACATAGTTTGGTCATGCTAATTAACTTTTTTTTTGGTATTCCAAAGTCCTTCATAGCATTCCATAAACTGTTTCAATGCACACTATCATACGCCTTTCTAAAATCCACAAAAACATTTTGTACATCTTTTCTATATTCCCAATTTTGCTCTGCTATTTGCCGTAAAATGAATATCTGATCTATTGTTGATCTGTTCTCTCAGAAACCCGCTTGGTATTCTCCCAATATGTCTTCGACGTATGGTTTTAGCTGGTTTAGCAGTACCGACGATAGTATCTTATAATTTGTAGATAATAGTGATATTTCTCTATAATTTTCACACTTATACTTGTCTCCTTTCTTAAAAGTGGGTATTAATACAGACACTTTCCATTCATGGGGTGGTTACTACGTCTTTCAAATTAGTTTTGATAACTCATATATTTTTACATGTAATGCATGACCACCTTCTTTTAGAAATTCAGCTGCAATTTCATCAGCACCAGTTGCTTTATTATTTTTAAGCCGTGTTATGACATACAGCACTTCTTCAAAATCAGGCTCTTCAATATTTGGTTCACATGTTAAAATCTCTTCCTGTGGATAAGTATTAAGTGGGGCTTCCCAGTTTAACAATTCAGTTAATTATTTCTTCCATCTGTTACGCATTTCCTCATTATTATTTATCATGCTGCTTAATATTACCATATAAAATAATTCCTATGAATTTTAAATTAGCAGTAACACCATAAAAGGGGGATTTTCCTATTGCCACTGATGTTTCTCTTTGCTACGGTTCTGTACATCTTGACTGTTTTCCCCCAGTATATCTTGACTGTTGTCTTTCTTAAATCTTGACCGTTTTCCTCCTGTACATCGTGGTTGTTTCTCTCTGTACATCTTGACAGTTTTACCTCTGTACCTCTTGACCCTTTTCCCTATGTACATCTTGACCGTTTTCCGCCTCAATATCTTGACCGTTTTACCCTTGCACTTCTTGCCCCCCCCCCTCCCTATGCCTTTTCCACCCTTCCCTCTAAATCTTGACTGTCTGTACATCTTGACCGCTTTACCCTTGCACTGCTTGATCTTTTCTCCCATGTACATCATGACCGTTTTCCGTCTCAATATATCTCACTACTTCTTGACGGTTTTCCCTCTGTACTTCTTGACAGTTTTCCCCCCCCCCCCCGTACATCTAACCCCTCATCCCCCTGTACCTCTTGACCGTTTTTCCCTGTACATCTTGACCGTTTCCCTCTGTACGTCTTTACCGTTTCCCTATATACACATTGGCCGTCTTCCTCTTAAAAAAGGTAAAGTCGTGCCTGTGTTGCTGACCGCACGTAACTCTGTAGCTACAGCGACGTTCCTCCATTTACCCCAAATTGTCACCTCTGGTACCCATTTCCTAGAGGCAGGGTAAACCCCGGAAACCACCCGGTTTCGAACATCGACCGTGGGCTGCAGCGAGTCGCAGCTGGATTTGAAAGCGAGCCTCTTATCAACTGCGCTAACGCAGCCCCCTGCACATCTTGACCGTCTTCCCTCTGTACTTGTGGACCGTTTCCTTCTGTACATCTTGACCGTTTTCCAACTGTATTTCTTGACCGTTTCCCCCTTGTATTTCTTGACAGTTTTCCTCCTGTACATCTTGACCGTTTTTTTCGTGTACATCTTGACCGTTTCCCCCTGTACATCATGACCGTTTTCCCTGAAGATTCCAGTGAGGACAAGCTTTTGACTCATTAGCACTAACATTCTACATCCGCGGTCTCCAACCTTTTCTAGGTGGCGCCCATCTCAGGTATCTGGCAAGCCCCCCCCCCCCCACCCCAACCCACCCAGAGCCATATTACTATCATTATGGGCCCCTGGGCAAACAAGTATGCCCAGGGCTCCTACGACAACCACCCACAAAAATGAACTATAAATTGTCAATAACAATAAAGCATATATTTATTTTATTGGAACTGCAACAAATATTAAGAATTAAGTGGGGTTTTACAGTTTAACAATTCAGCAAAGTATTCCTTGCACCTGTTACATATTTCCTCATTATTATTTATCAGGCTGCCTAATATTACCATATGAAATAATTCCTATGAATTTTAAATTAGTAGGAACACCATAGAAGGGGGAATTTTCTTATTTCTACTGATGTCTCTCTTTGCTACGGTTCTGTACATCTTGACTGTTTCCCGACTGTAAATCTTGACTGTTGTCTTTCTTAAATCTTAACCGTTTTCCTCCTGTACATCGTTGTTGTTTCTCTCTGTACATCTTGACAGTTTTACCTCTGTACCTCTTGACCCTTTTCCCTATGTACATCTTGACCGTTTTCCGCCTCAATATCTTGACCGTTTTACCCTTGTACTTCTCAACCCCACCCCCCCCTCTTTGCCTTTTCCACCCCTTCCCTCTAAATCTTGACTGTTTCTGTCTGTACATTTTGACCGCTTTACCCCTGTACTGCTTGATCTTTTCCCCCATGTACATCATGACCGGTTTCCGCCTCAATATCTTGACCGTTTTATCAAACTACTTATTAACCCCAACCCCACCCCCCCCCCCGCGCCCACTACATCTTGACAGTTTTCCCTCTGTACTTCTTGACCGTTTTCCAACTGTATTTCTTGACCGTTCCCCCACCCCCCGTATTTCTTGACCGTTTTCCTCCTGTACATCTTGACCGTTTCCCCCTGTACATCTTGAACGTTTTCCCTGAAGATTCCAGTGAGGATAAGCTTTTGACTTATTTGCACCAACATTCTACATCCGCGGTTTCCAACCTTTTGTAGGTGGCGCTCATCTCAGGTATATGGCAAGGCCCCCCACCCCCCAACCCACCCAGAGCCATACTACTATCTTTATGGGCCCCTGGACAAACAAGTATGACAGGGCTCTTACGAAAACCACCCACAAAAATGAACTATAAATTGTCAATAACAATAAAGCATATATTTATTTTATTGGCACTGCAACAAGTATTAAGTATTCAGTGGGGTTTTACAGTTAACAATTCAGCAAAGTATTCCTTCTACCTGTTACATATTTCCTCATTATTATTTATCAGGCTGCCTAATATTACCATATGAAATAATTCCTATGAATTTTAAATTAGTAGGAACACCATAGAAGGGGGAATTTTTTTATTTTTTACTGATATCTCTCTTTGCTACGGTTCTGTACATCCTGACCGTTTTCCCCCTGTATATCTTGACTGTTGTCTATCTTAAATCTTGATCGTTTTCCTCATGTACATCGTGGTTGTTTCTCTCTGTACATCTTGACCCTTTTCCTTATGTACATTGACCGTTTCCGCCTCAATATCTTGACCTTTTTACCCTTGTACTTCTTAACCCCCCCCCCCTTTTTTGCCTTTTCCACCCCTTCCCTCTACATCTTGACTGTTTGTCTGTACATCTTGACCGCTTTACCCTTGTACTGTTTGATCTTTTCCCCCATGTACACCATGACCGTTTTCCGCTTCTATATCTTGACCGTTTTATCCCACTACATCATGACCGTTTTCCGCTTCTATATCTTGACCGTTTTATCCCACTACTTCTTCTTGACCGCCTCCTCCCCCCCCCCCACTACTTCTTGACAGCTTTCCCCCTGTACATACCCGCTATCCCCCTGTACCTCTTGACCGTTTCCCTCTGTACATCTTTACTGTTTCCCTCTGTACATCTTGACCGTTTTCCAACTGTATTTCTTGATCGATCCCCCCCCCCCCCATATTTCGTGACCGTTTTCCTCCTTTACACTTTCACCGTTTTCTCCTGTACATCTTGACCGTTTCCCCCTGTACATCTTGACCGTTTCTCCCTGTACATCATGACCGTTTTGCCTGAAGATTCCAGTGAGGACAAGCTTTTGGCATATTTGCACCAACATTTTACATCCGTGGTATCCAACCTTTTCTAGGTGGCGCGCATCTTGGGTATATGGCAAGGCCACCCCACCCCCCCCCAACCCACCCCCTCCCCAATCCACCCAGAGCTATATTACTATCTTTATGGGCCCCTGGTCAAACAAGTATGCCAGGGCTCCTACGACAACCACCCACAAAATGAACTATAAATTGTCAATAATAATAAAGCATATATTTATTTTATTGTCACTGCAACAAAACTGGTGTTAAAACATAAAGATTGGATTGCACAGTATGAAATTACTAAGAACGTCTTATTATAGCAAGCATTTACGGCATTTCGTTCATAGATTTCGTTTCAAACAATCGCTTTATTATTTGATTGAAATTAGTGGTCTGTAGGAGAAACCAGAAGAGATACAACCAGCAATGAGGTCACACGAGATAAAGTCGGCACAGAACCAATTCTAAATTACATACAAAGTCAGAAAATCAAATGGTTTGCCTCCTTGGAGAGGATGCCTTATGATGCTATAACATACAATGCAGTTACCAAAAGACGAGAGGGACGTAAAGCAAGAGGTAGACCAAGAACAAGTTCAAAAGATAACATCAGAGAAACTCTACAGCACCAGGATATGTCTATTGTTGAAGCAGCCAGAAGAGCACGAAGCAGGACCCTATATCTCCCTCGACTCCCGAAGCGGTAAGAGAGGACGCACAGAAGAAGAAGTCAATGGTTTCCAGGATGTCATTTTCCATGCACATGAGTGAAAGACAGTTTAAACGATGCTACCCCATTATGCCACGACGCGTAAAATATGTTTTAAAAAGGGTAGAAAATTATAGGGAAGAGAAAAAGTTGGTAAGAAAGAACAAATAGTTTATGTTAGCTTTACATAATCGATCACAATAAACAAACAAAGGACGTTGCGGCGATTAGCATTCATCAGCACATAAAGGACAACACAGTACACATACACAAATATGCTCTAACTATGAAGTGACTACATAGGACTCCAATGTACAAAATAAAAAATACTCATCTGTGTCCCTGAAAAAAAAAAAAATGAAAAAAACTTCGTTCAAGAGGATGACTAGGACAGCTACTAGCCTATATATCTCCATCGCGCGGGTAGCAAAAAATGGGGTCAGTATGTCTAAGAAATGGGCGGAGCCGACGCCAACAGGCACAACAGCGTACACTGAGTGTCTAAAGGGGGAGGGGTTGGCCTATAAGGCGTAACTAGGGTTGGGTTGTGGGGATGATGTTAGTCCATCCGCATGGAATAAAAGTGGTGCCTGTGCTAGCAAACATATAGATAGATAGATAGATAGATAGATAGGTAGATAGATAGATAGATAGATAGATAGATAGATAGATAGATAGATAGATAGATAGATAGATAGATAGATAGATAGATAGATAGATAGATAGATAGATAGATAGATAGATAGATAGATAGATAGATAGATAGATAGATAGATAGATAGATAGATAGATAGGTAGGTAGATAGATAGATAGGTAGGTAGATAGATAGGTAGATAGATAGATAGATAGATAGATAGATAGATAGATAGATAGATAGATAGATAGATAGATAGATAGATAGATAGATAGATAGATAGATAGATAGATAGATAGATAGATAGATAGATAGATAGATAGATAGATAGATAGATAGATAGATAGATAGATAGATAGATAGATAGATAGATAGATAGAGAGAGATAGATAGATAGATAGAGAGAGATAGATAGATAGATAGAGAGAGATAGATAGATAGATAGAGAGAGATAGACAGATAGATAGATAGAGATAGATGGACAGATAGATAGATAGAGATAGATGGATAGATAGATAGATAGATAGATAGATAGATAGATAGATAGATAGATAGATAGATAGATAGATAGATAGATAGATAGATAGACAGATAGGTAGACAGATAGGTAGACAGATAGGTAGACAGATAGGTAGACAGATAGATAGATAGATAGATAGATAGATAGATAGATAGATAGATAGATAGATAGATAGATAGATAGATAGATAGATAGATAGATAGATAGATAGATAGATAGATAGATAGATAGATAGATAGATAGATAGATAGATAGATAGATAGATAGATAGATAGATAGATAGATAGATAGATAGATTGTGGATGGTGGGGTGAATGGATGAGTGGGTGGTGCAATAGATGGGCGGGTAGACAAATAGATGGAATGATGGATGGCTATACTCGTGGATGGAAAGTATAATAGATAGATGGATAGGCCTATATGTGTGCCGATACATGAAATCAGGTAAAAACAAGGGTCTCAAGACAGGATGCTTCTCACTTACTGTCAGCTATTACGTAGTGTTGCTCGGCGCTAACTAAGCATTACACCCCCGCAACATAGGACTGGCCCTACGACACAACCGTGGATGAAAGGCAATTGAAGTCACTCTTTTTCTGGGCCCGACTTCGTGAGTTATTCAGCAACAGCAGTAATGGTAGTCTTGGTGGTGATGCAGTAGCAGTAGTTTCAGCACTTCATTTTGTTTGGTGGCAAGTCACTTTAAATACACAGATTATCATGGGGTCTTATGCACTTAGGGCGCCCCTGGCAAGTTCCCAGTGGGCCCATGCAGTGAGTCGACCCTGAACCCACCCCCTGCTTCCACGTAACAACACGTGATTAAAAAGAGGAAGATAAAAAGACACACAGAAAAACAAATTAAACATAAAGTAGACAATTTCTAACCAGCAAACATCACCAACA